TACAAAACTTACCTGCTCATAAGTTGCTTGTGAAATGCAGGTTGCAGTTTTGCTATCTATATTTGTAAATAACCTTATAGACTCTATCGATCTACCCAGGTCTCCATCAATCCATGGTAAGTTGGCGGACTTCCCTGGTAAGTAATCTTATTAGAGCAGACTTCTAGTGAATTTACTGCTGTTTGTCATCCCCCATCACTGCGCATTTCCTCCGTGCATTTAGCATACCCTACTTCACATTTGAACACCACTACCCTCATGCTGGTATCGTGCTGTGCCTTGAACTACAGTTGAAGATTGACCAACTTCTCTGAACCAATAAACTAAGTGCTTTAGCTCGCCAACCAAAACAATAATGACTATGATGTCGTGAAAAAATACTAACATAAAAAATCGAACCTTGGAAAATACAGAGGCTCCGCCGGATCTCCATGTTTGTTTTGCACAGTCAACTCTAAAAATATATATTCCCGAAATCTCTACTTTGAATCAGCCAAAGGTCAACAAATGAGGGGTGCTAACGTAGGTCGGCCGGTGAGGCATACGACAGCGCTTCTATGTCTGTTCACCTGTCCAAGACATTAACTTAGCAGAGGGCAGGCGACCACGGAGAGGTCTCGGCAGAGCAGACACAGCCGCGCGGCCGCACGCAACCCTACCCTGGACGCCACCAGCGCCGGGAAACACCCCCCCCTCTATTAGAGAATGGCCCAGTGCCTATGTAACTTCAATAAAGCCAAAAACTCACATTCCTTTGTACTGTACCTGTCCGTTTAGGCAAAATTGGCTGGTTTTGGAGCCGAGTTTTGACGAGGTCAATCGGGAACACACAGGTCACCCCCACTATCCCAGCCAATCCACCGTTCATAATCTTCGGTACATACCTAGAAAACTAACTAATAAACATAACAACAGGAAAACATCATGAAAATTGGACAAGTTTTGGCACTTACGAAAACTCCTGTCCTCCCATGTTCCTAGAAAAAAGTTAGTCAGAGCA